TTTAATTCTTAGCCATTTCCTTGCCTATTCCCATCGTCTTATAGCTGAACTTAATCCAAAGCAGAAACAAGCAGTAATCAAGTGTGTAAAAACATCCATTACACAGGAGGGTTCAGTGCTAGAGAGCTAAGTTTGAAATTTCCCTAAGACTATCACTTTTATACTAGCTATTTTCCCATTTCTAGGCTCTGGGTCACCATTTAGTATTTCCTCAGATGTGTTGGCGATTCATTATGTGCAAAGAATTTTGTAAAAAAAAAAAAAGAATTTTGTAAATCTGTGACATATTACTTCTTCTTTTTAAATTTTTTAAAAAATAAGCATTATGCCCAATGTGGGGTATTCACTCATGACTCTTGAGATCAAGGGTGAGGGTTCCACTGACTAAGCTAAGCCAGGCGCCCCAGTGACATACAATTAAAAAAAAAACAAAAACCAGGGGTGCCTGGGTGGCTCAGCCATTAAGCATCTGCCTTCGGCTCAGGTCATGCTCCCAGGGTCCTGGGATCGAGCCCCGCATCGGGCTCCCTGCTTGGCAGGAAGCCTGCTTCTCCTTCTGGCACTCCCCCTGCGTGTGTTCCCTCTCTGGCTGTGTCTGTCTGTCAAATAAATAAATAAAATCTTTAAAAATAAATACATAAATAAATACATACATAAATACATAAATAAATAAAACCCTCTAATCTCTTCAAGGAGTTTTTCCTTCACTCAACACATTTAAAACATAATGAAAAGCCAGGTGGCAGATCAGTGAGATGCTACGTTCTTAAAATGTCACACTCAAATCTGGTTGAATTATAAAACTAAAATGTGGGGATTTAGAAGTGATTTCATATACTATTTTCATTGTTGGATCAATGCTTTCTGTTTTTATTATCTATCTGTTCATAATAAAGGGCTTGGCACAAAACTCAAAGAGCTGAGAGTTGAATAGGCTTTTGTGTTGTCCTTAGGTCTTGGCAAAAATTATCCTCAATTTCTTCTGTCAGATGTCTAATTTGATTGGGTGAGGTTTCACAACATTGGAAAATTGGGGGAACCATGAGGGAAAGGGCCAGAAAAACTGCCTGGTTGGTTACCCTCTGCTGCTTCGGAAAGTGGACGTTCCTGTGGGGCAGGAAGGCCGACTGACTGAAAGTGCGCTCAACCAGATCAATTTGGGGGCGAGCCAGGATGGGAAGATAGTAAAAAAAAAGGATTCCTATCATTCACAGATGCCGGGCTCGCCAGCCTCTTCTAAGGTGAGAACATAACTTACCTGGACAAAAAAGCCTATTTCAAACTTGCCTCAGAACTTACATATTTGTCTCTGATCCAGTTTATGTTAACATTAATATATTAATAGATTTATACTTTAAAACACATTAAATTGTGCTTTGTAGTTTGTAAATTTAACAAGGTCCTTTTTTTTTTTTTTTTTAATAAAACCTGGCATTTACAAAAGGTCTTTAAATAAAAAATGTCAGGCACCTGGGTGGCTCAGTCGTTAAGCGTCTGCCTTTGGCTCAGGTCATAATCTCAGGATCGTGGGATCGAGCCCCGCATAGGGTTCTCTGCTCAGCGGGAAGCCTGCTGCTCCCTCTCCCACTCCCCCTGCTTGTGTTCCCTCTGTCAAATAGTCTTTATAAAAAAAATAAAAATTGTCTTAAAATAAGCTTATTTCAACACAGTTCTTTCTGGCAGAGTATAACTGTAACCGAGGGTGGACACATAACCTTCCCTGTATGTGAGTTACATCAGCTGACCTTTTCCCTCCCTCCTTCTTTAGCGCCCTCTACCTTCGGTTATTTGCCTCATCCCTGGCCGCCCTCCATTTAAGACTCTTAAAACCTAAGAGGTCTATCACTTCCCTGCCCCAACTTTTAACTGCAAATAACCACAAATTTTGTTGTTTCAATACTATTACACACATAAGGGAAATAAATCAGTTCAGATTTAATTGATCAGTCACCTAGCAACTAAGTATACTTAGTTACCTTTCCTTTCCTCATTTCTAAGATAGCAGCCTCCCCAATGGCTAGAGAAATTTCAGTTAATTGTCCCCTCCACACATTAAAAGGGTATAAAAACCCATGCTGGGTGCCTGGGTGGCTCAGTCGGTTAAGCGTCTTCATGATCCCAGGGTCCTGGGATCGAGCCCTGTATCGGGCTCCCTGCTCAGCGGGGAGTCCGCTTCTCCCTCTCCTCCCCGCTTGTGTGTTTTACTAGCTCTGTCACTCTCAAGTGAATAAAATCGTTAAAAGATCTTTTAAAAATCTGTCAGATAATTTTAACATTTCTTTTATCTTGATATTGGCATGTATGTTTCTTTTTTAAATTTTGAGAATTTGTAATTCATACTGTGATGGGTGATTTTCCATTGAAACCTAGGTTAATTTTTGTGTAATAGCTAGGAGTCTGGATCTTCTTTAAGCCCGCTGTTTTAGCTGGCCTTTTTAAGATTTTTTGGAAATTTATTTATTAGAGAGAGAGTGTATGAGAGGGAGGAGGGTCAGAGGGAGAAGCGGACTCCCCGCGGAGTAGGGAGCCCGATGCGGGACTCGATCCTGGGACTCCAGGGTCATGATCTGAGCCGAAGGCAGTCGCCCAACCAACTGAGCCACCCAGGCGCCCTTTAGCTGGCTTTTTTGGACACCACTCTGGCAAGGGACAGGGGACCCTGCCTTGTTACGGTTACTGCCTCATATGGGTAGACCTGCGGGCTCCTTGCTCAGCGGGGAAACAGCTTCTCCTTCTACCTCGGCCTGTACTGTCTCTTCAAGTAAATAAAATCTTTAACAACAAAACAACCCATGTTTAATCCAGTTTTTATTCCCTGAACTACTGGTGAAATCAGGGTAGAGACAACAAAGGGTAAAGTGGGTATTTTATTTATTTGTACTTAAACCTATAAACCAATCAGCCA